TTATATATTCGAATTAATAATTTATATGAGAAGATGAGATTACGAGAATTAAAATTCCTATAACATCTTTATGTTTCTTTTATTATGTAGATTATAGATTGGAAAATCACTAGCTTTTGAACTAGACATCCAAATGACCCTTCAAAATCATAATTTGGAACCTGAACTATGTCCAACAAGTTTCAAGAAGTGGAAGTGAAATGTAGGATGTATGTCAAAAAATGTGTGACTGGTGTTTTAAATTAAAACATGTATTGTATAGTTGAGTACATGCCCGAATAAACATATGCAATATATGTAAGGAATGTCGAAGGAGTTTGGGTACGGAGACAATTACATGTCAAGTATGGATACAGCTTCAGATTAGAAGTACCTAGGTAACATAGACAGAGACTATCTAGAAACAAGATTTCAAAAGATCAAGGCATGCTTTCATCATCTATCAAGGGAAAAAAAATATTCAATGTTACAAAAATTTTGAAACGTTGATTTTGCCAGCATAAGATATGTTCTTAACTTAAGCTGAAATCACCTAAACTTTATTTCTAAAATACCTGATTTGTAGTAAATCACATCCAATGGAAGGGAGTTTTAATTTAGAAATTCAAATTTTAAATTTAAAGCTACACTATCCGCTTCTTGGATACTATTAATAGTAGCCTAGCTCATCTTATATTTCATTCTCTCTCTCTTTACGCACACGCGTGTATGTTCGTGCATGCACATGAATGCAATTGTGCATATGCGTGTGTTCGTACAAAAAATATGTTAGTTGCAGGGCTTACCCCAGCAGCTTCAGACTCGACGAAGCAGGAGAAGCGGGGTTCTTTGTGTGATGGAACAGGGTAATTTGGTACAACGGGAGGGGGTCCGTAGATGGAAATTTTATTCCCAAAATGTTTCTTAATTAATTCAACCACACTCTGCCAAACAAATTAAAATTCACTTTAGAAACCAAAATTCTCACAGATACAAACGAATATCAGCATGGAAAATTAATCATAATCTAGGAAAGACCTCTGTTTCAGGAAAGTCCCCCACAGCAATCACAGCCATATTGTGCAAATGATACCACCTTTCATAGAACCGTTTGATAGTATCAGGTGAAACAGTCCGAATAACCTTTTCCAATCCAATAGGCAAGCGCTCTGCATACTGCAAGAAGCAGTTAAATGAAATATTACCAGAATGCCTATTAACTGAGATACCACAAATAAGACATTCCAAACATGAAACATGAGCAAGAAATAATACTGAGTCTGTGACCTTGGGTTACAAAAAGACAATGACGATGTTATAAGTATACTATGTACCGAGGTGATTCAGGAGCTATATATAGTCTGGGATCTTGGGTTAAAAAAATAACATAGCGCAACATTAGTTTGTAATCAAGGGCAAATGAGATAAATAGAATCCTGTTTCTTGTACAAAAAAGACGCAGGATTGAAGACTCAAACTAATAGTATGGACTGAACAGATATTAGGAAGATGAAAGGGACGATTATGAAGGGGAAAAAACGAAACAAACATTAATCTATAGACCATATTCTTTAGATTGCTGCCTATATTCCAATGAATTAGTAAAACTAGGACCATAGTTAAGCCCGAAAAGAACTAAAAGGCCCTATCCTTCATGCACATGTGGGTCTGAATACACATTAAATTTTACTACATGAAACTTGTACACTGAATTAGTTCATTAACCATATATTAGGATAAGGTTCTCAAGGTGAATTAAAGTTATTATTTTTTTAATTTTTGTTATACAATAAACAAAGTTTCATATTAATACACTTTTAGCCCTCGTACAACAGAATTTTGCTCCATTACTAGTTAAAGATCATGGAACCCTCCATACTCGCAGACAGGTCAGTGTCTAAAAATACATCAGATGATATAGATTTACACCTAGAAAAAGAGATGTGTCATAGACTATTTAGACTATGGACATTTGGATGTTCCTAAAGAGATGTGTCATCGACTATTAAGGCTCAGGACATCTGCAGTAGAAGATAAATTTACACCTAGAAAAAGAGATGTGTCATAGACTCATAGACTATTTAGGCTCTGGACATTTGGATGTTCCTCAAGACCAACAAATTCTCTTTCAATTGTACCATACTTTAACGTCCGTCAGGTACTAAAGCAGCAATGACCACCAAGATTTAAGTGCAGGCCAGGAAATTTGCAGCTTACTACATATTCAAACTACAAGGTGGAGGTAGAAAACTTTCATAAGCTTCAGTCTGTATCAAATAGGTTTGGATTAAATATCTACCAGAACATGTATTCAAAATGTATCATGCAGTAAAAACAAAATACAGCCCATCAAGATGCTGACTGTTACAGATTTAATGGACTTTGTCAGCAACCATTACCTACTAAACTGTGCAGCAAGAATTAACAAACTACCATAATCATGAACTATAATAAATCAAATAAAAAAATATGAAGATGTGTGAATTCCTACAAAGTAAAAAAGGTGACTCATGTCGCTAACAGCTAGTTAACAGGACAGAAATGTTGACTCCAAGCTCGTAGTTGAAGATTAATACGCCAAAAGTAAGCTTGTAAATCCAACTGAATTTTACCCATTAAAAAAGTGCAATGCTACCTTTGAGCCTTCGAACATTAGAGCCCAGTGTGCATCTTGCATCCTTCCCACTGCATTACGTCCTCCTCTGTATTCTTCTAACACAGCACCTCGTTCTTTTTCTAGATCCTCCGCAGAAACTCTCACCTATAACAAGCGAGAAAACTAAACCATCCAAAGGAATTGCATAAAAATATAGAACTCGCTGTAAAGCTAAAAAGTCAAATTTTGTGCCATTATTTATGGTCAGTAAATGTGGTACAAAGTACAAAAGATGGGAGTATAAGAGGATCGGAGGGTACCTCAGAGCTGAATTCCGCCAAAACTGATATAGCCTGTGAAAGAAGTTCAGGCTTGTCAACAGGAACAAGCAACTCGTAGATGGTTTCGTCTGAAGAAGTTAAGGCATTCTGGCAAGCACCAAATTCTGCACCAATGCTCTCCAGAAACTTTACAATATCGTGGTTTGTATATTTCTTGGTGGCACTGAAAGCAAGGTGTTCAACAATGTGAGCAACTCCACGCTCCTCCTCCTCTTCCAAAACTGAGCTGCCAAAAACCCCAACGTAAATGCTTAATATATGCTCATTTATCGGCATGAGTAAGAACCAGAGGAACACACAGAGTTCCTCATATAAAGTTCCGTGGCAACTCAAAGTTTTTCATGTATATCATCAAACAAATAGATTATGGTCAATAAAAGAAAATATCAGCATTTCCCCACATCTCGAACTGACAACAAACAGCCAGTCCAAGAGTGACTGACATCTTAAAGACACAAGATACAAATGGAATCGGCGCCTAACATTGTCAATTACACCTGTTTGTTTATATTTTAAGGCTTAAGAAAATCTGGATTTAATGTTGATTTAAAACCTACTTCTACTGAACTAATTTGGCGATGAAAGCATTTTACTTCATCGATTTTGTAGAAACGGAAGTACTAAAAGAACATTTCATTTCGCTCAAGTCAATTTGAGTTCAACAATTCTACTAAGAAGTTATATGAAACCTTTATTTCCCAAAGCAAAAAACAAATGGATCAATCAATGGAAAGTAAGAGACAACATCTCTACATTGATAGTGTTGTTACTCCTACGTGTTCAGCTGAAATCAAATGGCAAGTTAGAGACTAACAGGCATCTTAACCACAATCTACCACCAAAACTGTCACTTAAACTTAATGTTGCACCTGTTTCTCCTTAATTTTAAGCACTTTTAGACTTTAATATACACATTTTGAAATCTATTTATGCAGAACCAAAAGAGAGGCAACAAAAAAATTCACCGTGTTCTATGAACAAAAGCTATAAGGAAGCCCTAAATTCCGGTAAAATCAGTCAAAAAAGTCGATGATCATACTAAACCCTATGAGGCTTTCACGTATAGTGTCAAAAAGATTGTCTCAGACACATTTTCAACAGGTCAATCAGCCAGTCTGACTTCTAAGATTTTTGAACTAATTCTCAATCCATTGTCTCTGAGCTACAACAAACTACAGAAACCCTAATTTGACTAAACTCAACCAAATCACTCATAAATCCTACTAAACATCTAAGAAACCCTACGTTCGGGAGCAGGATATTTAGTCAGAAAACCTACTTTTAAGCACTTTAAGACTTCTTTATGCACATTTTGGAATCTATTTCTGTCGAATGAAATGGAAAGCAACAAGAAAACTTCATCGTTTCCTCGGAGTAAAAGTTATCAAGAAACCCTAAACTCTAGCACAATCAGTCAAAGGAGTCAGCGATCCTATTAATCCCTGACAATTTGAATTTCCATGCACATTTCGAACTGATCAATCAACCAGTTCGATATCCGCCAAGTCTCTTTAGTTAATTTCAAATCCGCTACTCCTAAACTACAAAAACTACCAGATAGCACTAAAATCAACCAAAAAGTCATCAATCCGAATAAACTCCTCAGAAACCCTAAGTTCTAGAGCAGAAAAGGAATGGACAGATCAACTCACCCGACCTTGACGGCGAGAGCCAGAGCCGCTCGCATGCGAGGCTTGGGATTGCAGCGGACGTAGTAAGAGAGTCCGTTATCAAGAACGCCATAGTCGACGCCCACTGGCTTCTGAGCGAGGACCTCGTCCATGTCGACGCTGACGAGCTTCAGAGATCGGAACCCGTGCCTTAGCCCCACTGACGGGGCCTCAGTTGGGAGCAGATCCATTATCGATCTCGAGATCGAGAACGAAGACGTAGATGATGGAGATCGGAGAGCGTGAGGCCTGAAGAGGAGCGAGAAATCGCTGCTGGTTTCTCTTTGCTTTTTTCTGTTGTTGGAGGAGTCGTCGGGTTCGCTGGCTTCGGGTTTGGGTATTTATTGATCGGTGGGGTTTTTTAGATCCGTTCGGAATTATAACACAACCGTGAGCTGGGTCAGCGGACCTTGGATGCTCCATTTTTTCAAGGGGTATACAACGAAACAACTTAGAAGACATTTTCATAATGAACTCATTCTTTTTCTAAAAAAATGAACTCATTCTCAATTTTATTCCCAAAAATCGACTCACTTCAAAGTTTATTATCAAAATCGACTCATTTTCTCGTCACGTCAGTTTCGTGACCAGAAAGTAGGTCGATTTAAAAAAAATCGCGATCTTAATTAGTCAGGGTTGTCAACCCCGACTAATTAGGACCTCGCCCACAACGCTTCAGTAATTTGGCAACTAAATTAGTCGATGTTCGAAACCCCGACTAATTTAGTCATTATAAAAATGGTTGGGGGTTGGGAACCATGACCATTTTGAAATGCCTAATTCTAAATGGTCGGAGTTCCCAACCCCGACCATTTAGCAGACAGTGACCACCTCACATAAGAAATGGTCGGGGTTGAGAACCCTGACCATTTCGTGCACAGCATGCACAAAATGGTCGGGGTTCCCAACCCCGACCATTTTGGCAGAGACCCTCCAGCCCACACTCTGCTGGAAGATCTCTCTCATGTTAATACAAATCAATCCACAAGTTTAACACCAACTCTCTTGCTACGCATTTATCAATCCAAAATCAATTTCAAACACAAATAAACACATATTGCTATATATAATCATTACATCTATAACATATATTTAACAAAAATGTAACATTGAATTCACTTACTTAAAATCCAACCATAATCAAGTCACAGTATCATTTCAAACATAAACATAGCATTTCAAATATAAACACCATATGAAGTATATCGAAATCATCTACCCTTTAAAAGAGGGAGTACTAGAAAAACTTTTCGTACCCCAAATTACCCTTCAACTATAACCCAAATTACTTTTCAACTATTGTAAATATAAGAAAGTTATCCTCATCTTTCATTTCATTAACTAAGAAAGGTCCTTTTTTCCGTTACTCACAAATCAGAAGCTGTAAAGCCCTAACTCTTCGTTCCTTTAAAAGATCATATCATTCGCTCTTGCTCTTCATCTTCGTTAAAAATCCGTCGTCGGTGATCGTATCGCCTTCGATAAGAAGTAATCATGGCTGGAGTGGGGCCGATCTCTCAGAACTAGGAACCGGTGGTGGTCCGCAAGAAAGCCCCTAACGCCGCCGCCAAGAAGGACGAGAAGGCCATCAACGCCGTCAGGCGTAGCGGCGATGAGATCGAGACCATCAGAAAATGTATAGAGATCTTAACCTTCTTTTTTTCATGTTACTCCGTCTATATTTTAGATTCGCGTTTACTGATCATTACGATCACATGGTTTCATTCGAATAAATTGTTGGATTTAATCTAATAAATCTATTTGTGGGCACATATGATTAATCAATGTGTATTGCTATCTTTCAGGATAACCCACTAAAGTGATCAATTAAGTTGGGTTAATTTGGTATTTAAATAAGTCATGGGGTTATATGTGCAGATACCAGGTTGTAATTGTAATTTATTGAGGGGCTAAATTACAAAAGTACAACATCTATAAATAAGGGGTTATGGTCCCTAATCTAGGGTTACATTCTCTAATTCTCTACACCCCCATCTACCTAGAGAAATTCGGATTTAGAGAAACCCTAAGGTTAGAAGATCCAAAACCCATCTCAAGGTTCATCCATGGATTCAGGTATAAGCTTCCGCTCTTTTGATTATTGTTAATCTCTTTGAATTAATCATGGCTATATGATTTTAGATCTCAAGTTTTGATGTAGATCTAACAAGTGGTATCAGAGCCACCTTGATTAATTCTTAGGGATTTAAGTTTTATTGGGTTTTTGATCTTAAATCTCTAGTTAAAGATTCAATTTTTTGGGTTCGGATGAACAGTAATGTTCGGTGAACAGTAACGAAAATTTTTGTTCGGGTGAACAGTAAAATATTTTTTCGGATGAACGGTAACTGAAAAATCGCCGGTGAACAGTAGCTTTTTTGGAATTTTTTGGCTTTTTCTTTGATTTTTTCTTCAAATTTTTCCGATTCTGGATCTGTTTTGAAAATAAAAATCAAAGTTTTTTTGGGTTTGACGGCGGCGGTTTCAGTTTGAAACCCTAAGGGTTCATGGCGAAAATTAAGGAGGTGGTTACCTCAAACGAACTTCGCGGCGTTCGTTATCAAGTGAGCCTCGCGCTCAACGAACTTCGCGTTCGTTCTTAAGGTGAGCCTCGCGCTCAGGATTAAGGTGAACCTCGCGTTCAACTCAGGTGAGCGTCAAGCTCAATTTCAACGAACCTCGCGTTCGTTCTAAAGTGAACCTCGCGTTCAACTCAGGTGAGCGTCAAGCTCAATTTTTAACGAACCTCGCGTTCGTTCATTTTCAGACGAACCTCGCGTTCGAACTTCAGACGAACCTCGCGTTCGGACTTCAGATGAACCTCGCGTTCGAACTTCAGACGAACCTCGCGTTCGTACTTCAGACGAACCTCGCGTTCGTACTTCAGACGAACCTCGCGTTCGTACTTTAAACGAACCTCGCGTTCGTTCCCAAGATTGAATTCGTACTTCAGACGAACCTCGCGTTCGTACTTCAGACGAACCTCGCGTTCGTACTTCAGACGAACCTCGCGTTCGTACTTCAGACGAACCTCGCGTTCGTACTTCAGACGAACCTCGCGTTCGTACTTCAGACGAACCTCGCGTTCGTACTTCAGACGAACCTCGCGTTCGTGCTTCAGTCGAGCCTCGCGTTCGAACTTCAGACGAACCTCGCGTTCGTACTTCAGACGAACCTCGCGTTCGTACTTCAGTCGAACCTCGCGTTCATTTTTTAAACGAACCTCGCGTTCGTTCCCAAGTTGAACCTCGCGTTCTTTTATCAAACGAACCTCGCGTTCGTTCATTTTCAGACGAACCTCGCGTTCGTGCTTAAGTGAGTCTCGTACTCAATACAGTCGAACCTCGCGTTCGAAGTTAAGGGAACTTCGTGTTCATTATGGTTAAGCCTCGGCTTTTCATGGGTCCACTTTGGTATACTTAATTTATTCAATTAAGTTATGGGCCCTAATTAAGCTGTGAGACCCCAATTAAGTTTTTGGAAATTCAGTTGATTTAAATTAAAACTTTTTAATTTAAATCTAATTTGGTTTTTAATCAATTATTTAATTCAAATATTATGACACTAAGGTATTAAGGTTGTCTCTCACTCCAATTGATTAATTGAAACAAGAAGTTGCCAAAGTAACCTCTCTTGTGTAGATTGTTCATGAGGAATGTGAGATGTTTGTGTGTATGCTTTCGTGTAAATATTTAATCGGCCCAAAGGAAGGTTAATATTTATTTAGACTGTATACACATCTGCGATGATAAGCGTGTGACAATTATAAGGTTTACATGTGAATAATGAATCGATCCAAAGATAGTTTCATTATTTGACATGAGTTATTGTCAATGTTTGATCATTGCAACAAGGTATCACTTACAAGTTAATATTACTGTCCAAAGACTTGATATTAATGTTGTGCCGGTATCTTGGATGGGGATTGTCATTATTTGAATTTTATTGATTATGGTTATTGATGTGAGCATTTTTGTTTTATTTCAGCTAATGCATCTGCTGCAACAATTTCTGCTAACATCAACTCAATTCCCATGCTAAATGGGACAAACTTCAAGGTTTGGAAAGAGAACATATTAATTGTTCTTGGCTGCATGGATCTTGACTATGCATTAAGAACTGAACAACCCCAACCTCTCAATGCGGATAGCACTCCTGATGCAAAGAAGGAGCATGAGAAGTGGGAGCGTTCAAATCGCATGAGTCTTATGATCATTAAGCGCGGCGTTCCGGAAGCCTTCAGGGGCATAGAATCCGAAGGGATTACTAAGGCTAAAGATTTCCTTGCCGAAATTGAGAAGCGTTTTGCGAAAAACGATAAGGTAGAAACAAGCACGCTTTTAGCTCGCTTGATTTCAATGAAGTATAAGGGCAAAGGAAATATCAGGGAGTACATTATGGAAATGTCTCATATTGCTTCAAAGCTTAAGGCACTTAAACTCGATCTTTGTGACGAGTTATTAGTGCATCTGGTTTTGTTGTCTCTTCCTGCACAGTTTAACCAATTTAAGGTCAGTTATAACTGTCAAAAGGAGAAATGGACTCTAAATGAGCTCATTTCATACTGTGTGCAAGAAGAAGACAGGTTGAAGCAAGATAAGACAGAAAGTGCTCATTTGGCCTATGCCTCTAAGGATAAGGGCAAGAAAAGGAAGAATGATAAGGAAGCTGCTAAGGGTCCAGTTGAGAAGAAACAACATAAGGATAATCAGGGTTGTTTCTTCTGTAAGAAGCCTGGACATGTAAAGAAGGACTGTACAAAATATCACGCCTGGCGTGATAATAAGGGTACGTTCCTTGCTTTGGTCTGTTCTGAGGTTAATTTAGCTTCAGTACCTAGAAACACTTGGTGGTTAGACTCTGGTGCTACTACTCACATAAGTGTTTCTATGCAGGGTTGCCTGAGCTACCGAAAGCCAAGTGATGTTGAAAGACACATCTTTGTGGGCGACGGACAATCGGTAGATGTGGAAGCAATTGGGCACTTTAGGTTGTTGTTAGGAACTGGTTATTATTTGGATTTAAAAGATACTTTTGTAGTACCGTCTTTTAGACGGAATTTGGTTTCTGTTTCTGTATTGGACAAATCAGGTTATTCTTGTTCATTTGGAAACAGTCAATTCAGTTTATCTTTTAATTCAAATGTTGTGGGAACCGGTTACTTGAGTATTTATGACAACCTATATTTGCTTGATACAATTGCTTCTTACAATGAATCCTTGCATGTGGAATCACGTGGTACTAAGCGTAAATTAAATAAGGAAAATTCGGCGACATTATGGCATAAGCGCTTAGGTCATATCTCAAAAGGTAGAGTTGAGCGTCT